TTTCGGTGCTAGAGATTAAACCTAAGGCTTACACATGCGAAACACAGGTTCAACCACTGAGCTTCCCCAGTCTCATCTTATCTTACATGTGTATGTAATTTTCTTTACATACTCTTTTGCGCTCTGTTTTGTTTTTATTTATTTGCTGGCTTACCCAATTCTCGCACAACATCTAGCAATGGCATTACCGTCTCCCTTTCCTGGCCAGCAGGTGCAGGGCGGATGACAGAGGGAGGTTCAGGTGGAAGGAAGCACTGCCCCAGGGGAGGGGCGGGAATTCACTGCACTGGCAGGGGATTTGATCTGCCTCCTGCCAGAGCCACGCTGACACCTAAGAGGTAAGGTGACATTGAGATTTCACAAGCGCTGGACAGGTGCGCAGAAGCTAGTAAATGTATTCTTCTTCCAGGGACACGAACTTTTTTTCTTTAACCCTTCACCTTTGTTTCTCTGAAAATCATCTGGAGAAAGGAAGCAAGAGTGACTTGTTTTCTCTTTTCTGATGCTGGAGGTGCTATCCAGGCCTTGCGCATGCCTGACAGGCGCGCTGCTCTGAGCTACGTCCGCAACCCCTCACAGTGCGTTAAACCGGGTCCTCTGAGGAGACCTTTAAAAGGATTTAAATATTTCAAAGCAGGTGACAAATCGCTTTTTCTGGCCACATTAAGCATGCATGGGAGAGCTTCCACAGGACTCTTGCCACCCCTCCCTTTCTTCCAAGCACCTTTATGGTTCTAATTAAGTCGGTCTTCCTGTCCCCCACGGTTCCTTGGGGCGCCCTGGCTCGGCAGCCCCTCCCCCTCGTGCAGTTAAGACTTTCTCTGTCCGTAACAAGGTGAATAGAGAGTGGTTTGTTCTCTGTTTTGCCCTCTTACATGTATGCCCTCTGTTAATGTTCCATAGCTAATGCCCCTGTTTATTTTCTTTATTGGAGCTTATTATTTATTAGTTGGCTTTTTTCTTGTAGTTTATGGTCTCAGCGTCGGCCCTGCATCTCTCCCTCTGCCTCACCGGCGGGTCAGCTGCGCTTCCCTGTGCGCACCATCCATGCCCTGCCCCCAGGCGAGCTTTGCAGCCCTCTTCACTCTAGGGGAAGCTGAAGGCCCCCATTGAGTCAGACCAAATCTAAGCACCTTGTGGAAGACAGATACACAGCACTGAAGGTCCTCGGGAGTCGGGAAAAGGCTACAGACCATGGGTTCGAGTGTACTTTCTGTATTCTGGTTATTACCTAGCCACTTGGTTCCTCAATCTTCCTATCTGTATATTGGGTCTAACTCACTTCTTAATGAGATTCATTATTGTAATAGTCAGATGCTTAAAGAGCCTAATAAACTGTAAGGAAAATAGTAAAAACTCTCACATTGGTAGCTTCCTTCCTAGCCCCACCTCAGAAAAGCAATAATTTTCTAGCAGATGTGATAAATTACTTAGCAGCTGTAAACAAGAAGAAAACAGCACAGAGAAATGTCTGGGGTGATCTGAAAAGATACAATATCAAGAAGATAGAGTAGGTATATCCTAGCAGAGTGAATAATGTAACTGAACTACTAATAGAAACAGATTCAGGGAATTCTAACTTACTGAGATATATACTTTAATTCTTTAATAAGGAAGGTGCCTTTAGGAAAATTAACCTGACATAAGACAAATATGGATTTGTAAGGGAGAAAAATGGGAAGATAAGATAGAGCCCATTGTAGTCCAGGAGTCAGGTGAAGAAATCTTGCACCCAGTGCCTGTTATAGAAATAAATAAGGGAAAGAGCAGTCATTCCAGCAGAGTTACCTGAGCATCACCATTTTCAACCTCAACAAAGCAAGTGCAGGACTGCGAAAGTGCGAGACCTAGAATGTGAGCACATTTGTGCAAGTGTGTGTGTAAATATTTGTCTGTTGATATATTGAACTTAATTTAAAAATACGTAACAAGATAGGTCAAATGGTATTTAGGAAGTTGCTCACTTAACTATTATGTCGTATAGTTCTGTGCTACTTAGTTATTTGGCAATAAGCAGATATTTTACAAAATAATTCAAATAACCCAAAAACATGTCTTAGAAACATCAAGAATATACTTTTAACCATTGCAATGACATCAATTCTGACACTCAAAAATCTCTTGACAGAAAATATGCAAACATTAAAAGCTGAGTATAGTTTTACCTTTAGACTAAAAATCTGATGAGATCCTTAATCCAGGAATAGATACAAATGAACTTGGGAGCGTATGAATCTAAAGTCATAGACCTTCTTATTAAGAATGAAGGCACTAGAGTCAGAAAGTATCTTCTCATTAACAAGTAATGAAGACATCTATAAACCAACTCTATATGATATTGCATGGTTAATTTAAAACCATGATGTTGAGCCCCATAAAAATGTATATTTACTTCATAGTTTTAAACCATGTGAAAGTATAGTGATGATAGCCAAAGTGATAAAAATGAAAATGAAACTAGTAATAAATATGGCACTAAATATGTATTGACTTGAAGAAATTTCTTTTTTTTTTTTACTTTTCATGTTTCATGTTACTTTTTATTATTTATTTTATTTTATTTTATTGGTAAACAGATATCAATGAGACAGTTTCAAACCTGATTCATAATTAATACATTGTACATTGTTACCTTCTTAGTGGTTATCTGTAGTACAAGATGTAGACAGAATATTCTGTCCAAACACTATTAGTATAAATATTTTTTCTCATTGAATTAAGCAAAATAGCTGTATATCTATCCTAAATATTCTGTATATACAAATACAAACTGGTCCTTCCTTTGTATCCCTTCTTTTTTTTGTTTAGTCCTGTCAGAAATGGGTATTACACTGGCATCAAAATACTATAAGTGTGTGCATTCAGCAAAACAATCCAACAGAGTCTAGCAGTCCAAAATAGTAGTACCAGTCCACAAGAGTCCACAGAAGTTGTTGACTTGAGCCTTTCACAGTTCAGCATTTTCTTATGGCTTTACTTTATATACCTCATTTTTATACTTTTCTGCTGGGTAGTTAAGACCAAGATAAAGCAATACCTGTATAACAAGAAATGTGACTTTTGTATCTGACAAGGTCAGTCAAGTACCCTCAGGATTTATCCTGTAACCCTGAAAAGCAGTTTGCAGATCCTTTATCAGTTTCAGCCATGTGGCTGAGTCATGACCATTTCTTGACCAATTTGCTCTCTGTGAAAGCCTAGAGAATGGTTTCTCTCCAGATAACTCTCCTTAGGTACACTCTACTTCATCGATCACATTGCTCTGTGGTCCCATAATCTCCTTGATCAGAAAATTTGGGACACGACTGAGTTACATGATGTTACAATATAGATTCTCCTATGTCCTGAGCTTCAATGACCTTGAAAGGCTATGCTCAAAATGTTGGCTGTCCTTTCAGCCCTTCTATTTCTCTAATTTTTGGTCTGCAAACTTAGGTTGCTAACCCTCCAAACGAGGAGCTTATTATTACCCTACATCTTATGCAGTTGAGTTTAGCTTCACTATCTGTCTGAATATCAAACATCTTAGGCATATCATGGAACAGATATTTTCCATCTAGCATTGATATGTTAAACATTAAGTCCCTACAGAATATGGAGATAAAAATACAAAAAATGAAAAATATTTAAAGAATATGAACAAACAATTGCATAATTTTACACTGAAATTTACAAATCTAACCACATACAACATTTTAGCGGGACAGTCCTGTGTATTTTTTGTCTTTTCTTGTGTCTTCTTTACATTTATTTATTTTTATTTTTTTTTCATAATTTTATTGATAAACAGCAATGAGACAGTTTCAAATCAAATCGGTAGGACAGTTTCAATAACTAACACACTGCATACATTCTTCTTAGTGGTTAATTGCTGTACAAGATGCAGACTTGAGATCCTATTTACAAACACCATTAGAACAAATCATTCTATTCATTAAGAGAATGTAACTATATATCTATCCCAACCACTTTGAATACACAGATACAAAATGGACATTCATCTGTATACCCCTTTTTTCTAAGTTCCGTTATTTGAATATTACAGGTATGTAAACTCAGCAAAATATTCTAAAAGAGTCCAGTAGCCCATAATAGCATTGGGTCTTCTGTTTAACTGGCAATGTCAGAAATTGTTGACCTGAGTCCCCCACAGCTCAACATAACAGCATGGCTTTACTTCCTATATTTCGTCGTCATGCTTTTCTACTGGATGGTTAAGACCAAGGTAAAGCAGGACCTGTGCAACAAGAGTTGTAGCTTTTGGGTCTGAGAAGTTCAGTGAAATCCCCTCAGAAAATTTCTTTATGGTAGTTCTTTCTGAAAATGATTTTCTGGGGGCTGGTGAGATGGCTCAGTGATCTAAAGCACCCACTTGGAACAAGCTTAGCAAACACAGGGACCGCGGTTCAATCCCCCAGCACCACATGCCAGCCAGCCCTGCCCCCTGGTAGGCTGAGCTGGCCACACACACACACACACAAATAAATAAAAAAAATTTTAAAAAAGTTTAAAAAAAAAAAGAAAATGATTTTTTGAAGAAACAGTACAATAACAACAATATGAACCTGAACATTCTCCACTTTAATGTGTATTTAAGTAAAAAATGAGACTACTTAATACTGTTCTAAAATGAAAAGATTCTTTGAAAGGAATATAGATACTACTGATAGTTTAACTTGGTCATTTTCTTTTCAATGTTTTTGTAGGAGCCAGTTCAACAGATTCTGACAGTGAAAATTTAGCTTTCAAATCAAAAGCTGGAGCTATGCCGCAGTAAGTGTCTAGAATTCTACCAAGTATCTATATAACAAAGAATGGCAATAGGATTGTTGAGGTATGAAGTCACATGTGTTGTCCATTGGAGATCAAATATCTAAATCTAGAGCACAATTTTGACTTACAAATTAGAACTTTAAGTCTGAATTTCATCATGAGTGTACAAAAAGTATATCCAATGTTGGTTTCAAAGAAAGCCGTCTCACTGATTATAAATGTGTGAGAACAGTCACATTGAGTGAAAAATCATCTGAATTATTACAAATATGTGGAGGGCCAAAACTATCTAATAGGCCAAAAATATACTTTCATTCAAACAAAATCTATGTCAAGTTAAACCCTGTACTGAAAATCACAACATTTATTCTTATGAAGATATGAATTAATAAAACATCAGGGGCTGGGGAGATAGCTCAGAGGCTTAAGCAACTACCTGGCAAGGGCAAGGACCAGAGTTCAATCACCAGCCCCAAATGCCTTGCTGGCCCTGGAACCCCAAGCACACCATGCAACCCTGGAACTGGGTGTGGTGTCACATGCCTGAAATCCTAGCACTACAGAGGTTGAGGCAAGAGGATCACTGTGAGTTCAAGACCAACCTGGGGGCTACAGAAGTAAGCACAAGGCAAGCCCAAAATGCATAGTGAGACCCTGTCTCAAAAAAAAAAAAAAAAGCTTCAAAATAAAATATCAGTATCTTAATTATTTTGCAAAATTAAAATCGACTAGGATTAGGTAGAAAACTCCATTAACACTGAAGTGTGCTTTTAAAGTTTGTGTTAGTATATACAAAGCAGTTATTTCCATTCAAGAGGCTGACCACTGCGACTTAATCATTCCACATATGTGCGCAGTAAACATTCTCTGTACTGCATTCATATTACAGTTAAAATAATCTTAGAGTAATATGTAAACTTGAATAAATTATGCGCAAAGCATCCAGTCATCACAGACGCTAAAGGACCTGCTGAGGTCCCAGGCCTCACCTCTCCCACTTTAATGCAGAGCTCAGGTCCAGAGAAGTCACAGGGCTTCCTCCGGTCTGTGCAGCCGGCTGGTTGGCTCTGAAGGGGTTAGAAAGGGATTCTTCTTGCTCTTTTGCTTATGCTTCACTAATATTTATGCATTAAAGAAAGACGAAAATTCGAAGACACTCTCAGCAAAGCTAGAAACCAAGGCAAAGAACAGCTGCTGGGCTTAGTACAAGCGCTGCCAAAGCGAGCTACAGCAGTTATGCACAACAGAACCGAGGCTTTGAGTGAGTGAACCCTAGAGGTTTTAGGTATATGCCTACTTAGAAATATTGGGTCTTTTCCAAGTTTTTTTTTTTTTCTCTCAAATCTGCAGGATGGTCAATATGAATATCTGGCAACCTTTAGCAATGAGTGTGTTCCCTCCAGCTACTTTTCTTCTGTCCATATTTTCATTTAGCTAAATTTCATAACGTACACCTACACCTATGCTAACCACAGTCATTCTGGCTGTAGATTATGAGTTCGTTTCTGAAACAAATGCAGTTGAAGCAGATTAATTATACAACAACCTTCTTGTAGAAAACATTTAGAAAAGTAATACTGCTTAGAATAAAATTTTGACTGAGCACTTGCATTTCTATTTCTCAGAGCTCAAAAGAAAACAACTTCGGTTTCCTTGACAATAGGATCATCTTCTCCGAAGACGGGAGTGACTACAGCTGTGATTCAACCCTTATCTGTCCCTGTTCAGCAGGTAACTGTGCCTCAGGCCAGAGCCCACGGGGAACAGAATTCATTAGCAGACTGTTCCATTTTAAGAGTACAGCTTTTAGTCTAACTAGCATACTCCCTTGAAAATTCTTCAAATAGAAACATAACCAGGAGAAAGAAAACTGGTAATTCCTTTTAGTCCATTAAAAACATAATCTTTAATCAAAGTCACATCACCAATTAGTCAATTTTCACATTTGCTTTAGGAACTCCTATTACAATGTCAGTTATTTTAATGCTGTTTGATCATCCCCGCACCTACATAATCTCTTCCAGCAAATTCACTAGATCATTTTATTTATTTCTTTTTTCATTTATGAATTTGGTACAGGATTTCACTACGCAACTCAGACTCGTAATGATCCTCCTGTTTTCAGCCTCCCCAGCTCTGAGATTACAGGCATGAGCCACCAGGCCCAGACTCGGTCATGTGCTCAGCGTGCCCCGGGGGCAGGACCGAAAAGATCATTTTAAAAGACAGGGAAAGCCCACAGGACGTCAGAAAGCTTTCCCATCCCTAAAAGCTAAACAGATAATGAGAAAAAAATTCAACTCCTAGGCTTTACTATACTTTTTAAAATCTTACTTTACTTTCATTGTAAAATAGCTTTTCCTAAGAAAAATAGTACAAGCTACTAAAATGTGATTACAGCAAATTTACTTGGCAAATAAGAAGGTTTTTTTAATGAGAAAATCAATGTCCTCCAAATCACTGATGTCTTTAGATAGAATTTTCCCACAATTGAAACCTGAGTTTCTTCCTAGCTAAGGAACCCTGTAGGTCCTCTGAGTATCATCCTCCTTGCCTTAGCCATCACAGTGCGTGATACATGCTCTGTCACACATGGGAGATGCAAACAGCACAGAAAGGCATTTGGGTTCCTAACTCAAGTAGAATCGCCCAGTGTAAGTTACTATGAGATGGTACCTATAGTAAATATTTTGTTCAAACTCCTAAACCAGAGTAAAATTGCAGAAATACCTCAGATCTAAACAGTGGATTTTTCTTTTAGGAGTCTATGTATTAACAA